AAATATTTTATAGAAATGCAAATGCAAACAATGAAATACAATTGCCTGCATGTTAAATTTGCCAACTTTGGAAAGTTATAATACTCAATGCTGGCAAAGATAAGTTTCTAAGTTACGGTTACAATTTAAATTAGTGCAACACTTTTGGAAAGAAATTCATTAATACACAGAGCCATTTGAATCTTGTGCTCTTTGGCCCAGTAATCCCACTTCCAGCAATCTAATCCAAAATGTAAAATAAGCCATACAGTTGAAGATTCATCACAACACTGTTTATAATAGTAAAAGGTTATGCAATCTTTAATATGTTAAATATGTAGACATAGAAAAACACTTAATATCTAACACTAAGTGAAAAACACAGGGTCTAAACCTGTCACAACCATTTGAAAGTATCTTTAAGAAACTGAAAGGCCAGGAAAAAAATGTAAATATTGTAATCGCTGCATTTAGGGAGGAAGATTTGATTTTCTTTACTTTCTCTTTTCTCCAAACTTTAGGTTATAAGATTACATTACTTCCTGATTAAAAATAAAAGTATACAATCAGTTTGCTTTATAATTAGCTTATATCATAACTCATTTACTAACTGTAAATTCAATTTACATTCTAAAACGATTATAAACCAGTGCCATACTTTTCATGGTTTCCTGGAAATGGAAATAAAATTAGAGAAATGTGAAAACATTGGTAACTTAGTTATAAAGACAAATTAGTGGGCAGGAATTAGCTCTATTTTAGTTCTATGTGGATTTAAGCTTTCTCATAAAATAACTCAATATTAGTAGTTGAAATGAAGGTATTAATTGAGTATTTTTGGGTGGGTAGGGGAGTAATTCAGCTACATTCACAGACTTAACTTTCTTTCCTGGATCTGGAGCTTATTATATTACTGGTACTTTGGTGCTTTTTCTTTTCTTCTTTCCAAATTTTTTTTACTAACATTTTATTTGGAAAATTTTAAAATATACAGAAAGGTTGAAGAATTATACAATGAATCTCATACACCCACCACTGTAGTCTCAACTTAGTTTCTTATTTGTAACTTCTCACTGTCATTCAAACTGATACTTTATAAGAAGAAAAAGTTATATGTAGGTATATTTATTTCTTTTTTTCATCTAAAACATAGTTCATTTTTACCATGAATGGGTTGGGAATTGAATGCTAGTCACCGGCAGCTTCACTATGAGGACTAAAGATGTTCAGATATTTGTCGAGTGGGAGAAGGAGATCTAGATATGTCTGAGCCACCGTCTTGGAAGCAAGTTTTCCCTTGAACATTTTTCCAACAAGGTTGTTTTCTTCCCTTCCTTACCTTGAGGTGCTCATCTCTATTTATGGAGTCCAATACTGTCTTCAGCACAGTATTTGCATTATGGAATTCTGTGGCTAGCATTTTATTGGAGAGCTATTTGACCTTAAAGATATGACTTCTGTGCAATGAAATACTACATTTAAGATGTGTTTTCTTCTCATGGAGGATACATCTCTTCAATTATAACATAAACAGGAAGACAGGAAATCAGTGGCAATATTGGATTTTTGTCAATGTTTTTAAGAATACATATTGCTTTAATAAAAAAATGTTAAAAGACTTTATTTATTTATTTGAGAGAGAGAGAGGGAGATCACAAGCCGGGGGAGGAGGAAGGGTAGAGGAAGAAGCAGTCTCCCCACTGAGCAGGGAGCCAGATGTGGGACTCCATCCCAGGACCCTCGGATCATGACCTGAGCCGAAGGCAGACGCTTAATGGACTGAGCCACCCAGGCACCCTGTTTTTTAAAATTTTTTAAATGATATTTGTCAAAAATCCTGAAGAGCTGGTGAGGCCGCCTTTAATTCTGGAAAGAGCACAAACTTCAGCATCTAGCAGAACTGTGTTCGAGACCCATTCTGACACCTCCTGTGTGAGCCAGGGGAAGTTACCTTAGTTCTCCAGACCGTCTTTAAATTTAGTTAATAAGGGGTGTTGTTGTCATCATCGTTGTCATTGCCATCATCATCATCATCCTCATACAAGTCCTTGGCCTTTCTAGAGCCCTCTCCTCATCTACATAATGGAAGCAGTTACATCTAATTATCAAGAGTTGTGAGAATGAAATGCGGCATTATGTGTAAATGTTCTTTGTAAATTTGTGAAGATCCACATCAATTTAAGAAAATTATTTCTATTACTCTAAAGGTATAATTATTTCTGTTACTCTAATGGGCTCAATATTACTCTAATGATCAATAGCAAGTGATTCTATCAAGCTTCCTGATATCATCATTTCTAAATTCAAAAGTTACTTTGCAGTTATGCTGTTATAACCCTCTGCTGTTGAGCCCTGTTGGCTTAAAACATGATTTTCCTTTTGCTTCTGGTCCCTGTACTCTTCTTATTTTCCTTTTGCCTCCCCAGATGCTCATTCTCAGTCTCTCTGTGGCTTCCCTTCTGCTGGAGCTCCTCAATATGTTTGGGTTCCTTGGGATGTTGTCTTCTCATCTACTTCAACTCGCTCTGCTTAGATGAGCCTCCTGATGCCTTTGGCTTCCACAGTTTCCCTGATGTTCCTGACCCCTGTGTCTTACCTTTAGCCCAGACCCCTCTGAGCTTCAAAGCCAAACATCCAACCACACACTGACCCTCTCCACCTGGGCATCCTACAGATACTTCAAGCCCAATATGCACCATCAAATGTGCACATCATCTTCCTCCACAGTCCCATTCCATTTGGGCTTTGCAAAAGGCATTGTTTCATAAATTTGCCCAAGCCAGACACTTCAGAATTGTTCTTGAATTCTCCCTTTCTTTCCTCTCCTATGTCCAATGATATATTAAGATTTGTCAGTTCTTCGCCTGACAAATTTTATTTATATTTATATATACAAATAAATCTTATTTATATTCATTTATATAAATAAATCTTATTTATATTCCTTTATATAAATAAATCTTATTTATCTTGTATAAATAAATCTTATTTATATTCATTTATACTTATTTATATAAATGTAAATAAAACTTAGAGATGTAGGGAATTTTGTCCTATCAAAAGAAGATTGTTTCTCCTTTAAATGGAAATGTTAGTAGTATTAAAAGTAGAGAAGCAAGCACTCCTTTTTTTTTTTTAAGATTATTTATTTATTTATTTGAGAGAGAGAAGCATGAGTGGAGGGGAAGGGCAGAGGAAGAGGGAGAAGCAGACTCCCCGCTGAGCCGGGAGCCTGACTCGGGTCTCAATCCCAGGACTCTGAGACCCCAGGACTCTGAGATCAAACCTGCGCCAAAGGCAGACACCTAACTGACTCAGCCACCCAGGTGCCACAAGAAGCAAGCACTCCTTAAGAAAAGATCCTCTGATTACCAGGGAAGAGGAAAGGGGCAGTATTAGTCAAGGGCTACAAAGTTTCGCTTAAATAAGAAAAATAAGTCCTAGAGATCTACTGTACAGCATGGAGCCTATAGTTAACAGTATTATATTATATACTTAGAAATTTTCTGAAAGAGTAGATCTTAGGTTAACAGTTCTTATGACAAACAATAATAATTAATAATAGTAAATAAAGAGGGTAGGAGTAAACTTTTGGAGGTGATCGATATGTTTATGGCACAGACTGCGGCCATGGCTTCACGGGTATATCCTTTTCTCCAAATTCATCAGGTTGTATGCATTAAATATGTACAACTTTTTGTGTGTCAATCATACCTCAATAAAGTGGTATAAGAAGAAAAAAGAAAAGACCCTGATGGGTTGGCAAATTCTAAAGACTGTTAAAAATACAATTATCAAATACTGTCAACTTGCATCTCCAGGGATCAGAAAAGCTCCCCTTGCAGCCGGTTGTGACGTGTGAATTGAATGTGGTAGTGCCACATAAATAAAACGGCAGCGATCTAATCTGGAAAAAATAGGTGTGAATCAGAGGGGCTACAGAATCCGAATGGGAAATGCAGCAAATGGTTTTTACTGTCACTTTAGAATGACAGTGGATTAACACACACTTCTCTTATTCCACTTGGCCATCACCCACTAAATGAGAATAACACACTTGACATCAGAAGGGAAGTGCCAAAATATTAAGAACTCCTTTTATGACATTATCCCTAAGCTCATGGTCTCCATTATTCAGCCTTTTATTGTTCCTTGCAAAAAGATTTTATCCAGAGTACACTACCTATAAATGCAAAGGGCATGCGGCCTTCAGCTTGGAAAGTTCTGCACACAGTGGCCTAATTGACTTGGATCCTTGAGACTGTCCACATTAGTGACTAATTAACTTAAAAAAAAAAAAAAAAAGAAGGAAAGAACACTACGTTTGGCTTAAAAAAAAAAAAACAAAAAAAACAAAACACCAAGTCTACACTTTACGTTCAGTCTAAAATCAAGAACGCACTTTTAACCTTTCACCTTCTGACTCGGCTGTGTAAGGACCAGGTCAGTCTCCAGACAGGAACTCTTCCAAGTGGCTGGTATTTTTTATTGGTTTTCAGTATACGACGTTGAAGCACTTTATTGTCCAAAAGTAATTATATTTATTTAAGACTGTTACCAGAGGAGGGAAAATAAATATCCAGTGGGCCTTTATAAAGTTTTTATGTAACTTTCTGTAAAATATTAAAAAGCTGTACTTATCTCCACTTTTCATACTCTTTCTTGCTTACCCAGTCACATAAGAAATACTTGTCCTTTCTTTTTACGTGTGCTAAAAATCCGTATGGTGCTAAAACAACAACAACCCAACAGTTTTGCTTTAAATGACACTATTTTCATAGACTTAAAAAAAAAAATCTCTCTTTGATCACCAATCACTCTCTCTGGCTCTCCTCTGAGTATATCAGGCCTGGATTGAGCTAGATCAGACTTTATGATTTAGCTGCCTTAGTGGAAAACAAAAAATGCTTAATAAAAATAAGAAAATGTATTCTCTTTTCTTAGAGCCTATGTGTATTGATCATCTTACATAGTAATTGCTCTGAGCCTCATTTTTCTCATATTATTCCTATCCTATACAGTAGGAATAAGAATAGTGCCTATGTCCGCAGACGGTGGAGAAAACTAAATATGCGAACATATGAAGACTCAGAGCCCTGCTTGGCACATGGTAAGTACTCTGTATATAAGCTATCATTATTATTGTTATCTTCCCACAAGGAACCAGTGATCTTGAATTTGGCTATACATTAATACTGAGCTTATAGGTCCCTGTTGGTACCATGGTGCTTAGTGGCTTCATTAATGGCTATGCCCTTGGCCTGGAATGACCTTCTTTACTCTGTGTGTCTATCCAAAATTATTCATCTTGAAACACTCTGTTCAGCTTAAAGATCACCTCTTCTGGGAAGGCTTCCTTGATACCCTTCTCCCATCCCATGTGGAGATTCTGGATCTCTTCCCACCGGGCCATCTCTTTGAGTCTGCTTCTACTATTGTTCTTATGATACTGAATCATAATTTATTTGTTCACATTTCCGTCTGCCTTCTTGAAGTTAGGGACTATACCTTATTTGTTTCTGCATCCTTTTTGCTTGGCACCAGGACTGTCTGATTACTGAAAAAAGTAAGTTTTCAGTTCTCACTTGTGGAATTGAAGTATTGCTCAAGTCACATAATGTTTGTATGAAGGAAACAGAAGCAAATTACATGCCATATATTTTACAAAGAATTGGATTTCAGAATGCCTAAAATTACTAATCAAGACAAGGAAAGTCAGCAACATGCAAAATTCTCACTCATATTTAAAGTCAACTCATTTACTCAACAATGTTGTTGACCACCTTCTCTGTGCCTAGTCCTGCTTTCGGTCCTTGGAGTACAGAAGTGGGAAAAAAACAAAGGCAATCGCCACTGTCATGGAGCTTATGTTCTAGAAGGAGGGAACCAGACATTCAACAATAAATGTAAATTTAAAGTAAATTATATAATGAATGAGAAGATGATAAATGCTATGGAAGAAAAGAGAAGACAGAGAAAATTGTTAGGAGACCAGGGACACTGGTGTTAGGGCTCTGAGGCAAGAGGAGAAGGAGTTTGTTAGATTAAGTAAGGTGGTCAACATTGGCCTCATTGGGAGATCTGAAAAAGTGATGGAGGGAGCCAAATACATATCTGTGGGAAGAGAGTTCCAGGCAGAGGAAAACAGCCAGTGCAAAGGCCCTGTGCTTGGTATGTTCAAGGAGGCCTATGTGGCTGGGAGTGGAGGGGGAGGGCAGGGAGAGGGTAGGAGACAAGATCAGAGAGGTGACAGGGACCAAAGCAAAAGGTCAATGTCTTTTAACAATATTTATTAAGTGCCTATGATGTGTCAGGTACTGTTCTAGTCACTGGGGATAAGAGAGTGAATAAAATAGCCCCCAATCTCCTTCCTTGTGTCCAAAATTAGATAGATATAGATAGATAGATAGATAGATAGATAGATAGATAGATAGATAGATAGTGGTAAGGCTGTGGAGAAAAATAAAGCAGGGTTAGAGCAAAGGCCAAAAGCAGTGGAGTTGGGAAGATTGCTCTTGTATAAAGACAGCCAGAGAAGCCCTCTCTGATAAAGTGACATTTGGCAAACACTTGAAGAAAATAAGGGAACAATCATTAGGATAGCTGGGTGAAGAGTAGTCTAGGCAGAGGAAAAAGCTAGTGCAAAGGGCCTGAGGCAGAAGAATGTGTGAATGCATAATGCTTTATAGTTCATCGATCACTTTCATATCCTTTCTTTTATGTCATCCTCACCAGGTCCTTGGAAAATAGAAAAGACAAGTATTATTTTGTGTTTTTCCCCCCCTTTTACCAATGAATAATTGGAGGAAACAATAGTGAGTTGGTCAAGAAATGCTAAACCAGTAGTCCCTCCCCCTTACTTGCAGGGGGATAAGTTCCAAGACTTTCAGTACATACCAGAAACCATGGATTGTACAGAACCTTATGTACACTGTTTTTTCCTAAACATACATATCTATGATAAAGTTTAATTTATAAATTAGGCACAGTGAGAGATTAACAACAATACCTAAGAATAAAACAGAATAATTATAACAGTAATAAAAGTTATGTGAATGTGATTTTGCCCTCTCAAAATATCTTATTGTGCTGTCTTCACCTTGTTCTTGTGAGGAGGTGAGATGATAAAAGGCCTTCCAGATGAAATGAGATGAATGGCAGGTGATTGAGGTGGGTTTAGGCTAGACTGACCTTCTGCCCCTGCACCAACAGGAGGCTCATCTGCTCCCAAACTGAGGTTGGCCATGGGGTGGGTGAAACCCCAGGAAGGGAGATGGTGGATAGGATTGGGGGGGGGGACCACTGTAAATGGTGTGAACAAGAACTAGAAGCCAAGGCCTTCCTAAACTGATGCTTGTGCACACCCCCTTCGTGGCACCCTGATGAAGCCAGACCTGCAGCAGGCCCTCCGGCGGAGCCTGAGGAGTAAGGAAAGCTGCCTGTGACTGTGACTTACGTGTCCCCAGCGTGGGGTGTCAGATCGGCGACGTTTTAAAATTGCTTCTGCCGCTGCACCAGCAACGCTCACAGATGTAGCACCGGGGCATCCCTGCCTTCAAGGATACCCCATTTGAGACCCTCTTCCATGCGCCCATCTCCTGACCCAGGAGCAACCCTTCCCACACGGCCTGCGGGCCCCGGGCCCCTCCCTGCCGGGGAAATCTGACCTCTCCCCCACCGGAGTGTGGGCTCCCGCTCCGACCCCCCCCCCCCCCCCCCACAGGGGCAATCACGTCAGATCACAATATTCCAGCAGCAGGGCCGCTCCCAGGGCCTGGGGGATTGGGCCTTAAATAACACCATATGTCTGCCCCGACCGGACGGTCCTGCTGCAGCTTTGCCCAGCCCGGCACATTGCCTTTTCATAGCGGTTTTCCCTGCACGAAGGGAAGGTTATGCCTGCACAGCCCTCCTGCGGCTTTATCAGTCTCAGGTCCCCGGCTCCTGTCAGCAGCTGCTCAGACCAGAACACACACACGCGGCCACGAGAAAGAGCAGGAGCACGCGGCCCACGCCGCCCCGACCCGCCACGCAGCGAATCCCAGGTACCGCCGGATGAACCGTGGTTAGAGTTTCTCTCCCGTATATCCGAGCGGTGCATATGTGCGCACGCTTTCTTGTGTACCCACGCATACGTATGCACGCGCACACACAGCCACACAGACGGAAGGGGCGAAACCAATCTTAGTTATTTCAGTTTAATTATTTAGTATGGATCCTGTTCTCATGATTGGCATGGTGACTTACTGATTTATGTGGACTGTTTCGATGACCAAAAAAAAAAAAAAAAAAAAAAGTCTTAAAAGAGAATTCTTGGACAACTTGCATTTAACAGGGGAATAAGGATATCAAAAATAGCAGAAACTCCCCCAACGTGGACATTGGCAGCCTGGCTTCCCGCCCTGCTCTTGCTCTGGGGTTGTTTGACTCCTTCCATTGATTTATAAATCAGTTTCACAACAGTGATTCCTACGATTCCCCTGGTGAGACTTTGGCTGCTTCGTCTTCATGTCTTTTAAATTTGTTTATATATAAATAAAAGTTTTATATATAAAGTCTTCGATTTTGTAGGACGAGACCCACAACATGATAATCAGAACAGCCCATGTTCTCAGACCTCAGTTTCTAACAGTAGGCCAGAATACTTTTCTTTTCTTCCTGCTGGTTGCTTCTGTTTTTTACTGATATGCAGTGAATCTGACCCAACTAATTTTGTAGAGCACAGAGAAGAGCTGTAATGGTGGGAATTTTCAGTTAGATGAATATGGATGTCCAAGGTGATATATGAGCACACAGAGTCTTCAGTGGGCCCACACTCAACATGAGCTCCCCCCACCCCACCCCAATTTTCCTCCTCAAATGATCTCTTTCACCTCTTAGCAAATATCCAACCTAGATTTCTGGACACAGCCGTACAACTCAGTTGTAGGCAATGAAGACGACCCTCAGAGCAACAGTGTAACACCCAAAGAGTTAAAAATGTTCTGTTTATTATTTGTCCATAATTAAGGAAACATGCTGCACATGTAACCTTAGTTTTGTGCTTCCTTATTTAGTATTTAGGAAAGCATGTATTTTTAGACAGATAAGAAAAGTGATGATACTAAATCCTCCCCTAACCTATGGAAACTCCTCCTAAAATGTTAGGCTCCTTCCTCCTGTGTGTTAGTGATTTTTTCCTGGACGTTTAGGAAATAAAGGGATGTGTTAGCAGATGTTTATTACCAGTGCATTTACTACTCTGTTTTACCTCCAAGCCCTTGGTCATGGATGTTGACTGAAGCAAAGCCCCAAAGTGACTAGATATGATTTACATGTGTTAGGTGGAAGGTGGTTGAAGGAATGAGCAAGCGGACCACGGAACGCAGGGAACCGATTGTTTCCAAATGGCAATGTTTATCGGGCAACCGTCTATCAGTTGGCAAAGAGAGGCACTTGTTCAACGTTGGAGTTTTATTCTAGCCAAGAGGAAACGAAAGACTAAAAGATCAAGGATACAAATGAAAAACAAACATGGAAAGCTGCAAAGTTAAGAACACCGAGAGGAGGAAGCCACAAGGGAACCGGATTGTATTTCAGAGTTTAAAAAAAAAAAACACCAAAAACCTACAATCTGTCTTGTAAATTAATTCCACACTTAATTTTTGAAATTCCTTCCTATTTTTCCAGACTTAAGCCAATATAAGGGAGATGAAATATTATAGGGAAGTGGCAGCCAGGCATATAGTGGTAAACTAGTTCACTTTACCAATTTCCTTTCATATGTAGATTCAGCCCTGCCTTTCCCTTTGTCATTGCTTACAAAGTTCTAAGCTTCCTTCCTAAGGCATCATCTTTTATTAATCAGCTTATCCACAAAGAGTCCAAGAGACTGGAACTGGGTTCAGACAGATGTTGATAAATGTCTTAAGTTTCTTATAAACTAAATCAAGGCCAGCCATGTTTTATTAATCAGTTACCCTTCATACATATACTTCATCCTCTGTATATTGTATCACACTTTCTATGCCGTCCTGTTTACACTGTGTGTCTTGATTCAACTCAAGACGGTTCGCCTCTGCTTAGAAAGACAGGCAGGCCTGTAGAGGTTTTTACCTATACTTAATGGCT